GGCAGTCTTGGGAGCCTGCAGCGCACAGTGCTTGAAAAAGCCCCCCAACAAAAGTGCTGCCTGAGACTGCTGCTGCCCGCATGTATTCGCGCAGGAAGGTTTCCAGAGCTGACCGGCCTCGGCGCAAAGGTGTTCAGGCTGCCCGCGCAAACACCGCGCCCACCAATACAAACTTGCCTGGCCGAACCTCTCCACCCTGGAAGCGAATTGCCCTGAGAACATGGCCCGCTGCAGCGTCTGCCTGCGGCAGCTCTCCCGTGAGGTCGTAGCCTAACATATCCCGTGGGACTTCTCACACGCTCCCTCTCACACACTCTCTCTCTCTCTCTGAATCGTTCTGCATCGCCCTTTCAACTGTTTCTCTTGCAAACACAACCGCGGGCGCGAGCGCTTCCGCCGCTGCTCGTTGCCCAGGACCTCGCGTTTTGGCTGCGGCCCTGCCACGTGTGACAAAAAGGACACCTCTTACACATCCATCTTTGCGTGGCTTTACTCTTAGAACTAGCCACAAAGCTAAGTATGCGTGACAAGAAGCGATCCGGTTGGCTATCACACTACAGACAGTGCGACAATGGAAGGCGCAGTCCGTGCGTCGCCGCGTGTTTGTTTGTCTGCGCCTGTCTGTCTGTTTGGCGCTTTTGTTTGTTCGCGAGTTTGTTTCTTTGCTGATGTGTTTGTTGGTTGTGCGCTTGGTTGGTTGCTGCGCAGGTTGTTTGATCGTTTATTTGTTCGTTCGTGGGTTGGCTTGTCGGCTTGGAGGTATGTCGGTTTGTTCGTTTGTTGGTGTGTCGGTTTGTTGCGTGTTGGGCTGTTGTTGTAGTCTTGTTTGGTTTGTTCGTTGGTTTGTTGACTTCTTTTTTGGTCTGTTGGTTTGCTTGTCTGTCTGGCTGTATTGGTGTCTCTCTGTCTGTGCGCTTGTTTGCCTGTGCGTTCGCTTGCTTTGCCCGATTTTTGGTGGCTTGTTCGTTCGTTTGACTGGCAGGCTGTTCATTTGTTGTTCTAAGCGCTTGTTCGCTTGTTTGTTCGCTCGCTGGCTGCCTTTTGCTTGCGAGCGTTGCGTTGCATTGTGTTGTCTATTTGTCTTTCGCGCCTTCTTACTCTGACTCCTCTGGTTAACGTTCGTCAAGTTCTTCTGGGGTCCGCCTTCCCCGACTTCTGACGCTCACGTTTAGCACGCGAGTTCTTCGCGCGCTTGTTCATCATGGGTGTGGTTTATTGTCGTCGTTCTTCTTTGCTTTCTTCTCACTAATACTTACGATGCAAGTGGTTGTCTTGCTTTCCGTTATCCTCCGCTTTGCTGTTATCGACGCAGTTATCGTTCTCGCGCGCCTCTTCTCGTTTGTCGTCTCCCTCTTCCGCTCCTTCTGCCTCTTCTTCTTTTGTTGCTTCTGCGCTTGGTCTGGCGGCCGTGGCTAGTCTACTTAATTGGTGCGCTTGCTGCGGGGTGTTGGCTGCCGGGCTCTGGCTAGTCTACTTAGTGGGATCAGAAACTGCCGTTCCCGCCCCCTTTGGCTCGTTTTGCACGCCGCGCGCTTGAGCGCAGAGGGGGAAGCCCTGGCCGGCTGCGCCCTGGCCGAGCCTTGGCTTGCTGCGGGGCACTGGGTTCGGAAACTGCCGTTTGGACCCTGTCTGTGGGCGTCACGCTTGGTCGTTTTTCAGACGCGTTTGCTCGCCGTGCCACCCAAGCTTGTGTAGCCGTGGCCAGCTGCACCCATCCGCAGGGCTTTGCCGTTCAGACCCCCTCTCATTTTGCTCGCTTGGGCTGCAGACGGAGAGCGCCCTTGCTGGTCTGGTGCGCTGCGAAGCCTTGGCCGCGGGATGCGGCTGGTCAACGGTTCAGAAACTGCTGTTTGGAAGTTTTTCGGCTGCCGCTGCGCTTGGCTGTCGCGGAGAACGCCCTTGGTAGCCAAAGCCCCGCAGCAAGCAGCACGTCACCAACTCTAAGTAAAGTAGCCAGAGCCCGGCAGGCAAGGCGCGGCCCCTCTCAGCGTTGTTTTGCTGAATTTTGCTCGCCGTGCCACTACGCTTGGGTGTAGCGGAGAAAGCCCTGGCCGGCTGCGCCCTGGCCGGCCTTGGCTGGTCTGGCGCTTGCCGCGGCTTTGGCTGCCGGGCGCTGGCTATCTACTTTGTGGGGTCGTTTTTGGTCGTTTTTCGATCGCATTTTGCTCGCCGTGGCGCTCGCATTTTGCTCGCCGCCGCTGCGCTTGGGTGTGCCCTGGCCAGCTGCGCTTGGCCGCGCCTTGGCTGGTCTGGCGCTTGCTGCTAGGCTTTGGCTTTCGATAGCGTTAGTCGCCTGCGGCCTGTAGCCAGCTACGCCTCTTTGAAGGCACAGTGATCTGTGATGCAAAATTTGCTGATACCATGCATGTCGTTTTATTGCATGAAATCTCACAAAGTCAAGTCATTTTCTTGTGTGTGAACGACCAAGTGACAAGGGCCGGCGGAAGGCGCAGCCCCAATAGCTAAAGCTGGCAGGTAAATTGCCTAGCGGCGACATGCTATCTGAGGAGGCGTAGCTGGATAGAATGGGCTACGCCCGTGTGCCGCCGACAGCCCTTTTTCGGCCACTCGTCTTGCGCCGGTTGCATTGAGTTGGTGCGTAAATCGCAGCTAATCACGGCCTTGCAAAAGACGATTTGGGTGAAGTAAACATTGCGACACGGCCATTGCGACGCGTCCGAAAAGTCTTCTACAACGCGCCGTGCGCATAGTCACCGCCGCGTTTTTTGGCATGTCCTCGAAGGTCGCGCGTCTATTCTCAGGCGGTTTGACAAGTGTGCATGTTTCTACAGTTGTGGGACATCCCGGTAGCTAGCTCAGGCCAGCTGAATGTCAGGTTGACATGCGCTGTTTTGGACCAAGTCACAGTGTGCCAGCGCACGTGCAGTGCGCTTATTGCGCGCGCAGCTCTGGGGGGCGTGCTTATCGCGCGCAAGCGTGCGTGCAGCTCTGACGTGATGCACATGAGCGGGTGTGCTGATCAGGCAGCTCTGACTCGGACGCGCGGGTGGGTAAATACCTGGTACCTTCTACGAGGGAGTAGACTGGCCAGAGCCCAGCCCTGCCAAATCCAAGCGCAGCGGCACGGTGAGCCGAAACGAGCGGCACTTTCTGAACCCACTAAGTAGAGTAGCCAAAGCCCGGCGGCCAAAGCCGCAGCCGGCCAGGGCGCCCTCCGCAAAACCCAAGCGCAGTTGACCGCAAAATGACTTTTGGAGAGGTTCAAGGTTTTGTGGCCAGAGCCCGGCCCAGGCGAAAAACCGAAAAATGAGGCTTGGGGTTTGGACGGCAGTTTCTGAACCAACTAAGTAAACTAGCCAGAGCGCGGCGGCTAAAGCCCCGCTGCACGCGCGAGAGCAGCCAAGGCGCCCAAAGCAGCCGAGGCGCGGCCGGGCACCGCTAGCAATCGCCGGACCGGCCAAGGCAGCAGCCGGCTAGGGCGCCCTCCGCTCCAGTGGCACGGCGCCCAAGCGCAGTGGCACGGCAGGCAAAATGCGACCGAAGAACGACCGAAAAAGACGCTCAGAGGGGGGCGACTCTGAGGGGGGTCGCGCAGCAATGTTCCCCCCGAACCTTGCAAACGCACGTCCACAACGGAGCACGCAGACCCTCAGGAGTCAGGGCAGAAGGTTTGCCTGCGACACCGTATCAGCGATTCTTTCACTCACAGCGTGGAAAAGAGGCGCAACCGGGGGCCCAGCGTGGACTTGGACAGTGTCCCAGCAGAAATCCAGCTTTGTTTGGCAGATTCAGGATTGTTCAGTCTTGGCCGTTCTCATCGTAATCGTCATCTTCGCCTTCTTTCTAGTACTCGTACGAGCCTGTCTTCGGCCTTCTCTTGATCTTCTTACCCAGCACTTGTCTTCAGTCTTTTCCCTTGCGCTCGGCTTTGCCATCGCCTTCTTATCAACACGTTCCTTCTTCTTACGATTGTTCTTCCTCCTTCTTCTGCTTCTTCTTCGAGGTGCTCTTCTCACTGTCGTCGTGATCTGGCCCCTTCTCGAAATGTTTTTGCCATGTTTGCCTTCTTCTAATCACGCGTCATCGGTTATCGCCTTCATGTTCGGTGTCTTAGTGTCTTTCTTAGCTTGCAAGTGACTGCGTTGCTAAATCTATCTCTGTCTTCGACGCTCTCTTGACAGCAACGTCGTCATATTGTTTTCTTCTTCTTCTCGCTCTTGTTCCCTCCGGCTTGCAAGGTAGCGGCGGCCAACGCATGACAATGGGCGGGCCCGGCTCGCCCCTTCGAATCCAATCTTCCCACGCGTTGACGGTGTAACGAAGCGCCCCTGGAACGCCGCGCGACCCCAGCAACGCCGAGATTATGCCCGACGCGTGTCGCAGCGTCTTTAACCTGCTGGCCTTGTGCGCCGGCTTTGCTTAGGCCACCCGCCTTAACCGTTACGCAGGGCTGGGCCTTTTCCCCGAGCCGCCAAGACTGTACAGGGACACACCGGGTTGGGGCGCGTAAGTGTTTGCGCGCTGCGCTTGGCAGAGACCGTGGCCAGCGTCAGCAACTCTTCGTAGTGCCCGGCGCGAGCTTGAGCTACACCATTGCTAGACTCTCACAAGCCACTGCCACTCCACTGCCTTGATTTGCGTAAATCGGTTGCTGGCCAAGTGTGCACCGGTTCACGCATGATCGGGGCCGGGCCTGGAACCTTGCACAAAATTGCACCAACCCCCGTGCCTCCAAGAACATTGTGCTTGGAACCACGCCGCGGCGTCCCAGAGCCACCACGAAACGCTGTCACCCGTGCGTCCCAGAACCCTGCTCGGATTTGCAGACTCCGTCGCCGCGGCGCGTCCCCAAAAACCCCCTCTGCGCCTCCGCGTGCTCGGCGCCCCAGAAACCTCCTGGGAACCGCCCTGCGCTTCCCCGCAATCCTCCTGCAAACCTACCTCAGAGCCGGACCACCCCAGAGCCGATCTGGGCAAAAACTTGAAAGCTTTGGGAAAAAGCGAGCCCGCTCCCGGAACTGCCTCGTAAGCCAGCGCGATGCGGGCGAACTTGCTTCCTGCCTCTGCCTTGGAATTGGGAATTTTCACCAATTTGGCACCGCATGGGAGCAAAGTCGAAGAGTCTTCGACATCCTTTTGCCTCCAAGTTAATGTCCGTCCCAGCTGCTGTCATGGGAAAGCATAAGAAAATCAACCAGCTGCTGTTGGACTGCTTGAATCCGATACTTGCGCAGCGATTCGTTTCTTGCCATGGCCGGGCCCAAAGAGAGGCACAGAGCCACTTTCTTCGGGCTTGAAAAGACTGAATAACTTCAGCAAAAAACGCGGGCCGCTCTTTGAGCTGCGCACGGCATCTGCGCCTTGGCCGGGAACGGCGATATTGCAAGCAAAGGGAGCTCCGCCGACCCTTGCTAAAGAGGGAAGACGGCTGGCACATGAGCATAACCGAACGATCATCGCGGCGGTGATGATAGCTATCATCGCTGATCATCGCTGATCATCATCAGGACGCTAAGGGCCATCACAGCGTCCCTTGCCTTACTCAAAGCCCTCGTCTTTTTCAACTTTTTTGGTTTGCAAAAAGGCTGCCTTGTAGACGGCGCTTATTTTGCTACACAAAGCTGGAAAGTGTGAAGCAGTTTTTGCCCAATGGGCTGCACTGGACACTGCGGCATTGTTTTCTAAGCAACTTAACAAGCCAATGAGTTCACACTAGACAGTGGAGCCCGTTCAACAAGTGGCCTGACAGGCTTTAAAAAAGGGCGCCAGGCCACTTGATACGTAGTGAAACATATGTCGGGTACAGTTGGAGCTGCAAGGGGCGCTACGAAGAGACTTATCATCGCGATCGTGATACTAACCATCATCTTCCTCAGGGTCATCATCATCATCATCATCACCATTGTCATCATCATCATCATCATCATCATCCTTCATCATCAGCATCAGTCAACACCATCATCATCATCATCACCGTTGTCATCATCATCATCATCATCATCATCATCACCATCATCATCATCACCCGCCAGCATCAGCATCTTCACATTCATCATCACCATAGTCGTCATCATGGCGGTCATCAGCATCCCTTTCTTTTCTTACATATATACATATATATATAGAACTACATTTCCGAAAGTCACCTTAGGCGCAGTTGGAGATGCAGGTGACGCTAGATCGATACTTGTCATCATCATCATGGTAGTCATCAGCATCTCTAAAAATCATCACCATAGTCATCATCATGGTGGTCATCAGCATCCCTTCTTACATATATATAGAACTACGTTTCCGAAAGTCACCTTAGGCACAGTGGAGATGCAGGCGACGCTAGGTCGATATTTATCATCATCATCATGGTAGTCATCAGCATCTGCGAAAGCGCACAGTGGCAGCGATCGCACTGGTTTTCCGCACACACCTCACGAATGAAAAGGTAAATGCTGTGAAACAAATGAATTCAACTGGCTCTGAATGTCTGTCTGCTCTGCTTTGCCTTGTGTGTCCCGTTGCAAGCATAGGCCGGACTGCCAATGATGGACCGTGCGCTCCATGCGTAGGCCGTCTGCTGTCGGACCAACTGCATTCCAACATGCATCAAGCTGTTACAACATGCCAAGGTCAAATGCAAGCACTCAGGTCAACGGCTGGCCATGCTCAAAAACCCGGTGGGTCAGGGGGATCTCTCACACCGGTTATTTTTGTTTTGTTTGACCTGAACTGCTATCTGAATCTACACCTTGCTGCACGTCCAAAGCCACTGCTGCCCGGCGCTGCGCTCGCTGCGCTTGCTGCGCTTGCTTCAAACTGTCGTCCTCTCGCTTCACTTGATTCCGGCGTTGCCTTTCGGCTCGCTTCTTCTCCTTCACCGCCTTATTCTGCTCTGTCTGCGCAAGTGAAAGACGCCCCGTTCGAAGAAACTCGCGTAGAACCTCCTTGTCTGCCTGCGCCTTTGTCAAAACATCTGCTATGTTCTGCATGGCGTGTATCCAACGTACTGAGGAGTTCGGTTGTCTAACCGTTTCCCGCAAGAGCGCTCCCTCTATCGCCATCCGCTTGTCCGTAGATGTACTCGAGGCATCTCGCTTCAAGTAATCGTAAACAGACCGTGCGTCCGTGACGTAAACACGCTGCCTGCGTTCTATTGCCGATGTCCAATTCTTCAAGTCCACCGCACCGGTTAGCGCCTCCTCTGGCAAAACTGTAATCCAATCGCTAGCCTCCACTGCTTCAGCTAAGTGACTGGCTTCTGCTGCAAGTGTGCTCCGGCAAACTCTCTTGGTCACTCCCGAACGACATGCCAATACGTTGCACCGTGCTGCTTCGTCTTGCAAGATGCTAGGGTCTGCAATCAAAATGAAATAACCACCCACACTGCGGTATCTCATCTTCTCGTCCCTCTCCGGCGTTCCGTTGGCGTGTCCCGAATCCGCCAAAACCACAATGACACCGTTGCGGATGTCCACCTCCGACCAGTAGCGCAATTTAAAATCTGCGCCTCTGCGCGCACTGCCAATGTACTGTTTCAGCTTCAACAGGTCTGCTACGCAAGCATCTGATTTGCACCTCTGAATGACACCATTCTCGTATGCTAAATCGCACCTCAATTGTCTTGCAATCCAACCAAGCTCACCGCCGACACTGTTCATGATCTCCATCTCTGCTTCCGTCAAGTTGTCTTCCAGCTGCTTCTTCCGTGTGTTGTCCACCCGGATGTTCTTCATGGAAAGAGCAGAGTTGCGCATCGAAACATCAATGTGTCCATGCTCGACTTGCTTCACCTCACGCCCGCGAAAGATAAAGTCCCGGACGTGACTCGTTGCAAACTCGAGTGCCTTTTGAAGATTTGGCAAATGCTTTGTCCAACCATTCCACGCGAACTCCGCCTTCAATGTCGTCCACATGCGTTACCAAAATTCCAAGTAGCTGCGACTCATTGCGTAAATAAAACAATGCTGGTTCTAATCTGCTCTCCCGCCAACCGTCTGAAAGCAAATGGTCTTTCAATGCCAACCAAAACAACCTGGCTGCTTCTGCAAAACCGTATGTTGCTTTCTTTGCTCGCAAAAGTTGCCCTGGCCTCACACCGGGTAAACCGCCCTTCGGTGGATCCAAGTAGATCTCTCTGCCGACCGACTTGCCACTGAAATAAGCGCTCTTGATGTCCTTGGCCAAAAGAACAAAATTGCAATGCGCGCAAACTGTTAAGCAAATACTCTCTGCTATTGCACTGGCCGTTGGTGCATCCCGCCGGTATGCTCCCAACATCTTGTGTTTTGAAACCTTGCGCCACTAGCCGAACCAAACCGTCATGCTTGTTCGTCCGCACCCATCTTGTAGGTACGATCAAGTCCGCCTTCTCCTTCCGGATCTGCATGCTGGTTTGATAAACCAGCACTTCGCAAGCTTCCTTTGTTTTCAAGCGTCCCACTCGCGAGCATCTGACCCGCCTTCACCGCTAAACAAAAGACGTTGCTGCTCCGCCAAGTCCTGAAGTCTCAACTCCTTTCTCCCCTTCTTCTTACCGCCTCCGGCTGGTGCCGCTGCTGCTGCAAATGCACTATCATCTCCTCCTGCATGAGCTGACTCCGCCAGTGCTGCATATTGTTCATCAAAGCTGTTCCGCTTCATGCCAAACAGAAACTCCTCGCTCACGCCTTTGTCCTCGTAGAAGTCCTTGTGGTGTTGGTAACTTCTGCGAGCTTGTTTCGTGAGAAAGGTACGACTCTCTCTCGCAAAGAGAGCAAAGTTCTGTTCTCCCACCCACAGCGACTCATCTTCTTCCAAGTCTCCGCCAACACGTTGCCGCTTTGCTTCACGCTCTGCAGCCTCTGCGTTCGCCTCCACGATCGGCGAAAGTTGCCGCGTTGGTCTGCTGTGGTAGTCGTGCAAGTCTGGGTCCCATTCTTCCCCTGCTGGAATGTCCTCTGGCCTTATCGCTGGTGTCACTGCTTCCGCTACTGCGACCTTCTTCCTTGCTTGCTCCTCTTTGCGCGCGGTCTCTTTTCGCTTGAAGAAGTCGCTTGACTTAGTTGCTCTCCTTGCATCTCTCTCCGACTCCAGCCTCATGCGTGCCATCGACGTCGAACTCGCACTCAAGTCCTCTGAAGATGGTTCTCTCACCGAGGCATTCTGTTGGCAGTGTCTCCTGAGCATCTCAGCAAGGCCTATGATGAAGAGGTTCAGCAATGGATGGCAATCAGCCACGAGCAGGAGTTGATTGATGCTATGCCAGCAGCAGGAGGGACAGATTTTCTGGATTTGCGGAAGGCTCCGAAGCCCCCTGAAGATCTTCCCGCAGCAGATGAGGGAGAGGCAGAAGGGCAGCAGCGAGAGGAGCCGCAACCAGAGCTTCCACCTGGTGCAGCAGCCCCTTTAGGAGGATAGCCAAACTGTGGATTGCCCTTCATGACCAATCACTCTGGCAGTTGTGACCCTGCTGCTTGCTTGTGCCATCATAGTAGAACACAAAAGCGCCCACCGGAAAAGGTGGCCGCACCTTTCTCAACTCTGCTCTCCTCAAAGCTGAGTCGTTGGCTGCTTTTGCAAACTGCTCTCCAGCCGCCATCCTCACCTGACTCTTCCGACAAAAGCGTGTACCTGGCGTTTCTGCGAATGCTTGGGCTCCAATCCTTGTCACCTCTGATTCATCTGCAAGGCTGCCGGTAATCTCAAATCTCGACCTATCACCCACTGCGCTGGTGAAAAGCCATGATGCCGGGCCAAGGCGTTCTTGGCTTGTGTAGTTGCTGCTGTTGCCATCAAAACATCCTCTCTCCCAGCTGCTTGCATTGCCCAAACTAACCTGCGGAATGTAGCCTTCCAGATGCCGCCATGTCGTTCCACCTGTCCTATCTGCCAGGGGGAACTTTTGGCTGCTGCGCTGAAGTGACAGCCATGCTCGGCTATGTCATCAGCCACCTCTGCTAAGAAATACTTGGCCCGATCCGTCACGACTCCTCGTTCTGGATAAACGGCCCATGACAACCAGTGGCTGCTGAATGCTTCCAGAAGATCTTTCCCCGTAGGGTTCGAATGCGTTTGCGGTAAAAGTGCACAAACCTGAAACGTTGTTCCTTGGCAAAGAATGTTCAACCATGGCCTGCACTGTCCTTCTCTTGCAACACGTCCATGCAGATCTGTACATTGAACTCGTCCACCGTGGGCAACTTGCTAGGTCTGGGCATGCGTGGTTCCTGATCTTCGCATCTGAACAGTCTGCAAGCGTTGCGGTCTCAGATGCTCTTGAAATCCTCAATGCCCTCAAAAGCGTTTGAGTGTTGGCGTGACCAAGGTTCACGTGGATCCTCTTGATTGCCAACTTCAGCTCTCTCGGCAACGCTTGCCATTTCCGTTC